GATCGGAATCAACCGCGATCTGAATCGCTACGAGTACGACTCCTTCATCCGCGTTCTTGCAACACTTCCGCTTAGCGATCTACAAGGGTATGTAGATGCACTCTCCTTCCCCTCGTTGTTAGATTACTCCATAGATTGATCTTGGTGATGCGTAGAAAATTTTAAATTTCTGCTACGATCCCCAACAAAATTAGTATGATACTACAGTATTTGTGTTCATACACACGCACAATATATACAAGAACATTTCCATGATACTAGCCCTGGACAATCAGTACTTCCAATCACGGTAGATTGTTGTCAATCCACATGCACAATATATACATAAAATTTCTATGCAACTAGCCTCGAACATCTATCCAACGCTACAACTTCTAACTGAAACAGGAACATCAATCAGAAACATGAACCGCTAATATGGATCATAATAAATCAAAAAACAGTAGTCACTTACATTGTTCACCGCCACTAGAGCGGGAGGAGTGAGAGCAGATGGAGCTGAGGCAAACCCGGGCGGTTAAGAAGGCATTAAATCGCTCGTCCTTGTCATTGACACGGAGGTCCTAACACGTATCATGGAACTGTCGGCAACGACAGATGACGCTGGAGAGAACTGGATTGGCGAGGCGGATGTTGCGGACCCTCATCCCTGTGATGAAACAAGCATCATCGTCTGTGAAAGTTTCACTCGCAGCCAGCGCGACCGACGCCTCCCTCGACGGACCCTCAGCCGATGAGGGTGGATGCCTGCCGCAGATGGGGACAAAGTCCATTGTCCGCCTCTGTAGCTCGTCAGGGCTGCACCCCTCAAGGCGGGAGAACCAGGCAGCGGTTGTCGGCGGCGGTGGCTCGAGTGCGGTGGCTAGGATCGAGTTGGTGCATCCAGGACCATCGCTACAAAAGAGATGGGTAGTCAGAGAGGGGAGAGTAGTGTGAGAGGGGAGATGGGGGTGGCGTATGAAAAGGGTTTGGTCATCAACAATTTTCTCCTGCGCTCCCTTAGGCATGCAGTTGAGTGCCACGCGTGGGTCACTTGAGCGTCCTGGGAAACCGCTTGGCCCAACAGCTAGCAGTGCGATGCGAGGGGGTGACAACCCATAAAAAAAGCCCATTCGAGAGCTGTGTGCGGCAGGAAACAAAAGTTGTTGTCATGACTTTGTGTAGGACGTCGTGTTGCTCCTGAGACGACTGGTGGTAGGCCGTTCGAAGAGTAGGAACGAAGACTAGCGATCTTCGTGAGTGGCGACCAAAGACGATGTACTATTTGACACGTTACCTAGTCTGTCATGACACCTTGTATGGTGTCAGAAACCAAACTAACATGTCTTCTCGTATGTGGTATGTCGTTAGGTCTCTCGACGATATGGCCATTGGTCTGCCGCGTTACAGGTCCCTCAGGTGATGCTAGTGCGCTTGACACAGTTGGTGGCAACAACATGATTCGATCGTGGCTAACAAAGCTATGGCGTACAATGTTAGTGGCGACAACGTTGTGGCGGCGAACGGAAGGACGTGTCTCGGAGGTGCCACGCGGTGGGCAGAACGACGACCGTTGAACGTTGACAGTCAAAGACAGCAAGCCGTTTAGCCTTTGTGCATGTATGTGACGCGACTAGCTGATAGTCATTTCTCCAAGGGGCCAGTCAGACAAATAAGATTGCCGTGGGGGCACAGATGCGATTAAGTCCAAAATAAGGCCATTTAGGAAAAAATAATACGATATGTTTGACACGATTTTCAAGCTTCGTTGTACCAAAGGGTCTACTGTTGAGATGATTCACGAGGTTAGTCCCCTACGGCCCTCTTTGGTTCATTCAAAGGAGTTTTGTAGCACTATAATCCTTATAATATCCTTTTTCTATATAGTCCACTTTGTTCAAAGGAACAGATCCTCCAGAATTACTATGGAACACTTTCCTACGCTTAAATTTTAGAGGATTCCTAGTGAGAGTAGACATATTGGATAAATTCCTTTGTAATGACAACTATGCCAGTCACATACTGTATTTCCTATAGAAAATTCAGGTATTTTTTTCTACGGTGCAACCAAACAACTTCAATTACTGATTACCTTAGGATTCTAAGTGTCATGACATCATATTTATTTGTGTTCCCTATTCATGTGTGTTTTCAAATCATGTGAACAATAGAAGCATTACATGTGTCTGCAGGTACTCTAGTGGCTGAATGACTTAATGTGTTGTCCATTGCCAACGCTCAACGAAACCTATACTGACTCAACGGTGATTTAGTTGCGTAACTGGCTAGAATTTTGAGGAATAGGAATCTTTCGTTTTGTTTAGGGCCGCACTACGTGCATTACGTTTCGGCCACATAATGTTTAGATAAGATCCGCCACCTCGGCAGTCGTTGGATGGCAAGCTCAGCAGCCTCCGACCTCTGCCGGCCTTTTGCAACAACAATCATGTTGCGCTTGGCGCTTTGCAACACGACCCTTGTTGTGCTTTAGTCAGCCCTTTGCATCATGACCGTTGTCGCGATCCAGTTCGAACCTTCTACTATCTTTGCAACATGGACGCAACCGCAATAGGATCCATGTTTGCAAACTTACCATTGTGCACCTTGTTACAACATGAGCCTATTGCGGTTGCCTCCCATGCAACATCCATTCGGCAAGTCCCGGCCGACGCAGCATTCGCAACACCCGGTTGGTCTCGTTCGGCTGCATCAGTCACATCACCCCTTTGCAGGCGCGGCTATGGCGGCGGCGACGACGATTTTCAACAATGGCTTGCAGTGGATGGTGGTGTTGTAGCACAGTGGTCCACGGAGAGGGTGCGGGGTCGCGCTACTTGGAGGCTGTAGTGCTTCGTCGGATTTGGAGATGAAACAACTTCTGGGAAGAGGAGCATCCGGGAGAGACAATAGAGAGGAAGGATAAAGGGGGTGCCCTATATCTCGCCTTCAGCGAGTCCGGCTTTAGACTCGTTGAAGGGACGAGCGAGATGGGCTGGCCCGCGTGCATGGCAGGCCACAACCTCTTTTTTCTGTTTTTCTGTTTTTGTTTTTTGCTTTATTTTTGTACTTTCATTTATACTTTAAAATATTAAATATATACATAAAATACTCTACAAAAACACATTTGAAAAATGTTGAACAAATATTTGAAAATTATTGAATGTTTATAGAAAAATTGTTGATGATGTATTACAAAATGATAATTTTTTTATCATATATATAAACATGTTAATCAAGCATTTAAAAAAATGTTGAACAAGTATTTGAAAAATTTTAATCAAGCATTTTCAAATGTTAAATCTGTATAGAAAAAATGTTGACCATGTTTTCAAAAAATTATGAAATAATTTGATCATGTATATAAAAGGGTTAATCAAGCATTTGTAAAAATGTCAATAAAGCATTTAGAAAAATGTTAAACGTGTACAGAAAAATGTTGACCATGTGGTAGAAAATGATGAAACAATTTGATCAAATATATATAAAAATTAATCAAGCATTTAAAAATATCTTAATCAAGCATTTGGAAAATATTAAATGTGTATAGAAAAAATGTTGATCATGCATTATTTTTTTAAAATTTTTATTTGAAAACTATTAATCAAGCATTTAAAAATGCATAGAAAAGAAATGTTGATCTTGTATATAATTTTTTTAATCAAGCATTTAAAAATGTGTATAGAAAAAATATTGACCATATATTAAAAATGATTTTGACATATACAAACAATGTAGAATGAAAACAAAAAAATTAAGACCGAAAAAGAAACAAGATTAAACCAAATAAAAAAATAAAATGGAAAATAGAACCGAAGAAAAATTAAAAAATAACAGAGAAACGTAGTAGAAAAAGAAAAGATACACGAAATGAAAAAACCCGATGAAAACTGAATAAAACAGAAGAAAATGGAGAAAGGAAAGAAAAAACAGTAAAAATGGGGAAAGAAACAAAGAAAAACCGATGAAAAACATAGGAAAACAAACAACAAAAAACCTGGAAAAAATGATGAAAGACTAGCTCTTTTTCCCTATAAGCAGGTTGTGCCCTAGTAATCAACACGAATGTGGTGCTTACCCAGTGGTTAGCTTTGCTACTACTCACCCAGGAGACCTAGGTTTGAATCCTAGGTGGATCCTCGTGTGCGCTTCAAAAGGAGCATGTTTTTTCCCTTTTCGAGCTTGCTTCTCGCGGAAGCAAATCCATGGCTCCCAAAGGGAAAAACGCGTTTTTTCGCGCAATTTTTTCCGAAAAGCTAAGAAAGACCGGTGAAAAACGAAGAGCCGAAAACCCCGAAAAACCATCTAAAAAGCCAAAACCGCGTGCGGAAAAATGTAAATAAAATAAAATCCGGAGGGAGCGCCCAGGGCCCACTCCCAAGTGATTGTTGGGTGGCACCCGAAGGAGCCCTCCTCAACTAGTTGCCTAGGAAACATTTCTCTTTTGCTTAGGGCCGTCTTTGTGTTTGTGGGCTGTATCTCTTGACCTAAAAGCCCAGTTTGATAGGCTTACACGATCACGTTGGATTGCCTATAAAAAAACATGATCACGATGAAACGCACTTGGACAAAAACATGAGTCGAGAAGATTTATCTGTTGTAGCCATCCATAAATAACCCTAGCCGTCTCTCTCATCCCTTCCCTCCCTCCCTCTCATCGTCGGCCGCAGGAGCAGGATCCCATCCGCCTCCGCCGCCGTTGACACTCGCCGCGAATCTCCTTCCGGTACGTTCCTCACCGTCGCTTTCCCTCGATCCGGCCTCCCTCCTCTCAATGTCACTGTTTCCTTGGCAAAAATAGAACGAATTATTTTTTCCGCGGTTCCGATCGGGGACCATGGGGCGTGGTCTTCCGTGCCCTATTAGCCGATCGATGATTATCGATGCATGCATGATGCGCGTTTATTCTATCCAGTTCGATCGAGTATGTGGAAATTCGCCTAGAAATCTGGAGTCTAGCTAGGTCGTTTGATTGTTGTTTTTGCTTGTTTGCCTGTTTCAGAGTCGTTCCGTGGATAGGAGGCATGGCAATGCGGAGGCTGCTTCAGGGGGTCGTTCTGCCGCGGGCGACGGGCCGGTGCGTCGGGGCGTCCTCCTTCTCCACGTCCACGGAGGCCATCCGCGCGACCCTCTTTCCCGGCGATGGCATCGGGCCGGAGATCGCCGAGTCGGTGAAGCAGGTGATCAACGTTGCAGGCGTGCCAATTGAATGGGAAGAGCATTATGTGGGCACGGAGGTTGATCCCAGAACACAGAGCTTCTTGACATGGGAAAGCCTGGAGTCGGTGCGCAGGAACAAGGTTGGCTTGAAAGGCCCCATGGCCACACCCATCGGAAAAGGCCACCGTTCGCTGAATCTCACGCTGAGGAAGGAGCTTGGGCTCTACGCCAATGTCAGGCCTTGCAACAGCCTCCCGGGGTACAAGACCAGATACGATGATGTGAACCTGGTGACAATCCGTGAAAACACTGAAGGGGAGTACAGCGGCCTCGAGCATCAGGTCGTGAAGGGCGTCGTTGAAAGCCTGAAGATCATCACCCGCCAGGCGAGCCTGAGGGTCGCGGAGTACGCCTTCCACTACGCCAAGGCCAACGGCAGGGAGAGGGTCTCGGCGATACACAAGGCCAACATCATGAGGAAGACAGACGGGCTCTTCCTCCAGTGCTGCCGCGAGGTGGCCGCCAAGTACCCTGAGATCAAGTACGAGGAGGTCGTCATCGACAACTGCTGCATGGAGCTCGTCAAGGACCCTGGCACGTATGATGTGCTGGTGATGCCGAATCTGTACGGCGACATTATCAGTGATCTGTCCGCTGGTTTGATCGGAGGCCTGGGCTTGACTCCGAGCTGCAACATTGGTGAAGGCGGCATTTGTCTGGCAGAGGCTGTTCATGGCTCTGCCCCTGATATCTCGGGCAAGAACCTCGCAAACCCGACTGCTCTTATGCTGAGTGCTGTCATGATGCTGCGCCACCTGCGTTTCAACGACCAGGCAGACCGCATCCACAATGCCATCCTCCGCACCATCGCCGACGGCAAGTACAGGACGGCTGATCTTGGTGGCAAGTCGTCGACATCAGACTACACAAAAGCAGTTTGCGGTCATATCTGATTGAGCACCACCTCTTGCTCTTTCTTTCTCTTTTTTATTCCCCAAATTTTGTTTGCTATCATATTTGGCACGGTTTAGTTAAGACCGTCGAAGAATAATCGTCACATTCCTTGTTTTTGGAAAAGTTTTACCAACTTTGTGGTCAAGGTCGTCCATAATAATCATTGATTGGCAGCATCAGCGCATATAGTTTGTTCGTTCAAGTTGTTGAAGAACTGGGTTTCGATCTGTTACCTCTACTGCTGTTCCCCTCTCTTAAGTGTGATTTTGGTGCCATGCGGTTGTTGTCGTGTCTGGCAGACATTGCGGCCAGATCAAGCCTGCTCTCTAATGCCCTCCTACGTTCTCCTAGTGAATCACCAAACCGTATCCTATCCTTCCTCTCGTCTTGCATCCACTTATATATAGATTTCCAAAGCAAAGAATAGTTCGTTAGCCAGGCGTATGTGTCGAGTACTGAACTTTGAAGTTAATCGTTAATAATAATCTACTCTAGTCTGTACTCAACGAACCGGGAAGCGAAAATTCGTCCTGTGCTACACAACGCCCATCCACAACGGCGGCGGCATCGGCATGACTCGCATCTGACTGCGTCATCGACAGCACCTCTGATAAACTTGCAGCATGTGCATGTGTGTGGATTCCGTCTGTGATTCTGTGAGAGCATTGTTAGTGAACAGCTGAAGCTAGATCAGAATTCAGGAAGGGACTAATCATTCGTGTGGTTTCTAGTTTGCAGCCTGGACTCTACTACTTGGTCTTGAATTTGGTGGGCCTAGTTGATGAAACCGTCGGTGGACTCCTCCTCCTCCTCCGTGACACACGATGCGCGATGGCGCGTGCGATACGCGTCGGATTTGGCGTCGGTGCGCACCGTACATCTACGTGACGGCGAGCTCCTGCTCCGTGGAGATGCTCTGCGTCTCGTTCTCTTCGACACGAGGACAGAGTGATCGACGCGCGGACTCTTCGTGAGCACGAGTTGGTGGATATTGGTTTCATCGTCTCGTTCCCGTGTTTTTTTGCGAGGGTGATGGACAGGATTCCGGCGATCACCGGAGCGAATCCACGGCGGGCTGATGGGGGATCGGACAAGTACAATGTGACGGTTCCTGCGGTACACGGCACGGTGCGTCGCACCGCTGTACCCGACTCGCCACGCATGGGACCCAGGGAGCGGGAGGCGCCACCAATGGCGGATGCCCACCACGTGGACGGCGATCCCTAGCGCCTATCACCACGCGAGGCGTCGGAGGGGAGTACAAAAGCCAGATCTCATCTCCCCCTTGACCTAGACGCTGCCCTCTCGCACTTGTGGGCGGCGCAGAAAAACCCTAGATCTGATCCCCCTCTTCCTTCTCTTGGTGGCGGGGAAAAATCGGCGGCGATTGCAGATCGTTCGCCGAGATCGTCGCATCTCCTCCGCGCCCGCCTGATCCCATGGATGACAAGGCGGGGCAAGGTCTTCGCGGCGACCGTAGGGAGGGTTTCGGCGCTGGACGCGTAGGCCGTGGTGCGGGTCGTTTCGACCGCGGCAGCGAGCGCTTCGATCGCGGTGGTCGTTTCGACCGCGGTGCGGGGAGATTCCACCGCGGCGGTGGCCGTTTCTCATGGCGGAGGGACTCCAACAACAACAATACCGACAACAACGTCTCCGACAAGTCTGAGGCCTCGCGTTGGGAGGCGGCGGCGGCGGCTGCGACGGAGCGACAGAGCTCCAGCTCCGGGGGTGTGTGGGTGGAGAAGAACAAGAGCCCGGCGGCTTCAGGTGGAGGGAGCTCGCACCAAGCTACAGAGCCAGTCCTCCCGACTACTGCTCCTTCGACCTCAAGGGCCATGGCCAAAAATCAGGTGCCCCCTACCAATCCCGGAGATCTCTGTCCCATCTGCAAAAATGTTGGTCATGCTCTGATTCGTTGCCCGTTATCTTTCTGTGAGAGATGCAACAAGTTGGGCCACCTAGCTTCTATATGTGTGGAATTATTGCCATGGGAATGTATTGCTCCTATGTGTGCATTTCAAGCTAGGGGTCAAGGGTTTTTCTATGTGCATGATTATTGTTCAGCAGAACAGGCCAGGGAGAGATCATGCAACGTTATTATTACTGTGCTGAGAGGGAATCCTACTGTGAAACAGATGAACGATGCATTTTTCCTTTATCTAGGTAAAACCTGGAGGTGCTCTGCCAAATTAGTGGAACCTGGGGTGTTCCTAATGCGATTCCTGAATACTAGAGAGGTTGAAAAAGCTTGCTATAGTGATCGCATGACCATGAAACCTTGCGGGACAGTAGTGAGGGTCACTAGATGGAACCATGATGATGGTGCCAAAGGTATTCTTGAAAAAGCCTGGGTCAAAGTGGGTGGAATCCCAACGGACAAAAGATGTGAGAGGAATGTCGCTTTTGTTTCATCTTTGGCAGGAGTCCCGCTTGAGATAGACATGGCTACATTGCACCGTCCTGACTCTGTTAGAGTGAAGCTTGGATGTCGCAATGTGGATGAGATCATACTAGTGGCCGAGTCACTCCTGGGCGATCGTTTCTATGATTTCACCTTTCATGTGGAGCAAGTACTGGTAAGAGATCCAGACAAAGAAGAGCTACGCAATAAGGCCCCTGTTGATCCTGCTGATCAGAATGGTCCTTCGGGCAAAAAGCAGAAGAGATTTAATGGGAATGATGATATAATGGAGAGCTCATCAGGAGGGAGGGGAGAAAAAAATGCTCATCTGGAAAAGCAGTGTGCTGCTAATCCAATGGAGTCCCCTGCTTCTGTTACATCTGATAGTTCTGCACATGATACCTTGTTGATACACAGCATGGAACAAGAGGCCATTGCTGCTGGGATTAATTGTGATGAGAAAAATAGTCAGAATGATCCTGAAAAAGTTACTCGGAATGCTAAATGTGGTGGGGATGCACATAACATGAAAAAATCCTATGCTGAGAGTGTGAAACAGAATATCGAGGTAGTTGAGATGGAAGGTCCTTTTATGAACAATGAAGAAAATACAGTTGAGTACAGTGTTCAGTCGCCTGACTCTGCTAATGCTTACTATGGTGAGATGATTCCCACACCACCTCTCTTACCTGAAAATATGCTCAGGTTCAGCACCAGGAATACACTGCTCAATCTGGAAAGGGTGGAAGACAGAGCAAGAGCAACCTGCAAGAAGCGAGATTTGGAAGGTAACACTTCTGTTAATTCTTTTGCAGCTCTATCTAACCCTGAATCGATGCTTAGAGCTAGGAAAATGGGTGTTATGATACCTGATATGGAATTCTCTAAGATAGATATCCTTAGAGAACTTGAAAATGTGAGGAATAATGTTGTAGAAAAACCTACACCTCCTGATGAGGTTATACTTCTCACTAATGAGAATGGAGAGGCCATCCCTGTTGATATGAGATGGGGGGATGATCTTGAGGGGGACACTTCTGATTTTACAATGGTGGGACCCAGGAAAAAAGCATAGTTCCAAAAAAATACAGACGCCTTTATCTAGGCCTAGAACTAGAAGTCAGAAAGCAATGGAGTCCATTGCTCATACTGGTAATGCTGCTAAAACCCCTAGCAGAGTGACCAGGGGGAAGGGGGAAGAAAACGTTCCAAATGAATGGAATCTTCTGGAATTGCAGAGGGGCAGGAAAAAAAGGGATGATGACCTGCTTCTCTGATCTCATAAAAGATCATTCCCTAGATTTTTTGTGTCTGCAAGAAACTATGAAGAAGAAATTCTCTTCTAGTTTTTTTAGGAATATTGATCCTTATAATACCTTTGAGTGCAACTGGATTCCCTCAATTGGTAAATCAGGTGGTATGCTTTGTGGGGTAAAAAAGGAAAAGCTAGAAATAGTTGCTTGGTCTATGGGTACTTATATCCTGCAAGTGACTGTGTTTGATGTAGTTAAGAAATGTGTGTGGGCTCTGCTTAAGGTTTATGGGGCTGCCCATGATGAACAGAAGGGTGAATTCCTTTCTGAGCTGGCTAGTTTTTGTAGTCACCTGACAATACCCTACATTATTGGGGTGACTTTAATATCTTAAGACATTATGGAGAGAAAAATAAAAAAATGATGGCCTCACAATTATATCTAGCCATGGGCCGGGCCGGGCTGGGCTTGGGCCGGGCCTAAAAAAGCCCACGGCAGAAAACTGAGGCCCAGGCCCTCCCAGGCCCTACCATCGGGCCTACTTTTCAAGCCCAAGCCCGGCCCATCTCGTAAAAAGCCCTGAAAAGCCCTTAGGGCTTAGGGCCGTGGGCCGGGACTCTTCCTTAAAATGCCAATATGACAAGCCCAAGCCCGTCCAGGCCCTGCTGATGGGCTCAAAACTCAGGCCCAAGCCCGGCCCACGGACAAGCCCATCGGGCCTAGGCCCTGGATTTTAGGGCCGGGCCTGGGAGGGCCAACAGGGTCGGGTCTGAGATGGCCAGGACTACTCACAATATACAGTCAGATTCAATGCCATCATTAACACTATGTGTTTGCGAGAGATTTATGTGGAGGGGGGAATCTATACCTGGTCTAACAATCAAGCCTATCCTACTCTAGAAAAACTAGATAGGATCCTGATGAATAGTGAGTGGGAAGATCTATTCCCTTTGGTCACTACCAGAAAGCTGGTTAGAGACATATCAGACCATAACCCCCTTCTGCTGTCCACCAATAGTGCTTGTCCTCAAGCACCTAAACCTAGAGAGTTTAGGTTCGAGATGAGCTGGATGACCAATGAGGAATTTTTACCCTTGGTCAAGAAAATCTGGCAAAGGCCTGTTAGATCCTCTAACCCAATTGATGTGCTTAACATCAAGCTAAAACGATTTAAGCACTTCTTCAAAGGATGGGGGTCAGACAAGTTTGGCCATGAGAAAAAAAGGAAGAAAGTTATTAAAGAGGAGCTTGAGTATATTGAACTTATGGAAGAACATGGTCCTCTTGGACCTGACATCCTGGATAGGCGAGCTACCTTGAGTGGTGAACTACAACAGCTCATGGT